ACCGTCCTCGTGACGCAGTCGAGTGCACAGGGCACTATGCAATGGCACCATCGACTGGGCCATCCAAGTCATGACAAGCTACGCAAATTGCGGCGTCGTTCGACTGTATTTGAATTTCCTATCTCTCGGCAGGCCATCATGGCCCATGCTTCGTGCGACACATGCTTAAGATCGAAGTCCAAAGTACTTCCCTTTTCACGCAACCAATTGCTCAACTCATCGAGGCCTCTGGAACGAGTGCACTCCGACGTGTAGGGTCCAATCAATATCCCCTCTATCTCTGGGGTCGATATTTCGTCACGTTCATCGACGACTTTACCCGATACACTTTTGTGTACATCATGCAAAAGCGCGCGGACCTGTACGACAAGTTCAGCGCATTCTGTCGCGACGCACGACAGCGCTATCGCTCCGACGTCATTGAGCTTTGCTGCCATCACTCACCACCCAGTGAGTTCGAGGAAATCCAAGCGCTCCAAATGGACAACGATAAGGAGTATGTTAAACTCGGGGTCCGTATTCAAAGCGAATACGGCACCCGCCTTACGTACACGAATGCATATACCCCGACCCGGGAACCCTGTGGCCGAGCGGCGTATGGGCATCATCGTCACCATGGCTCGCTCAATGCTACTGCATGGTAATTTACCACAGTTCTTGTGGGGTGAAGCCATTTCCCACGCAGTGTTCCTCATCAAACTACGTACGTTTACGCGTATTTGGCTGTGTAGCGTATGCACACGTCAACATACCCATGCGTGTGAACAAGCTGTCTCCCCGAGGCATGCTGTGCATGTATATTGGCTTACCCGAGACATCTCGAGGGTTCAAGCTGTTGAACATCGACACACATTACGTGCTTACGAGCCGCGATGTGACGTTCGTTGAACATCAGTTTCCCCTCCTGAAATCAGTCGAGGACGTGAAACGTCTTCGAAGTGAACATCCACAGCGGAACTGTTTCACCGTGGACCAAAGCTCACCACCCCTCCAACCAAGCCTGCCTTCACCCCTTGGGGAGGCTGCGCCGCCCACGACACCAACACCTCTACCCTCGTTTGGGGAGGCCTTTTCATGGACCACGCCTCTACCCTCATTTGGGGAGGCCGATACGACCTCACCTTTACCCACATTTGGGGAGGCTTTACTTCGTGGGACAACAGGTACAGTGTGGCAAGTCCCTGTCGTACATGGCGTACCAGACATCACTCCACCTGCCCGTTTGGGTGGCATCATTCGCCACCCCTCACACCAGTCGTCCACAACTCCGACGCCCAAGCACCATCGAACGTTGACCTTCAACACAATGGAGAAATCTTTCCCCGTACCATGTACCTCGTTCCACGAGAAGTACAGATTGCCGTACTCCGGCATGTGTGAGTACGACATCCACCTCCACTCCAACGTCGTCACATACGACAACCCCGTTGCTCGCAATTCCGCCTCGGACCTCACGGTCTCGAGCAGCGACGATAGCACATGTTGTACGTCGTCTCATCGACGTCTACCACACTGGACACGGCGGACACGTCCACGCGACGGTTCAGCTCAGTTGCTCATGTCGTATATTGAGGACGCCTCAGGCGCTCAATCCCTCTCGACGCCGCAACACATCCTCCTCGCTCTCAAGGACACGACATTTTCAGAGGAGCCTAAGACCTACAAACAGGCGATGAAATCGCCAGTCAAAGCGCAGTAGCTTGAAGCCACGATGCTCGAGCTGGCAGCCCATGAGGCGAACGGGTCGTTCGAACCAGCCACCTTGCCTCCAGATGCGATACCACTGGGCATGCGTTGGGTGTTCAAAATCAAATACGACGACTCGGCCACAGAGGCTACGAGACGCGTCGCTCGCTACAAAGCGCGACTTGTGATCCAAGGACACACTCAAATTCAAGGCGTTGACTACGAGGAGAGCTACTCCCCAGTCATTGGCAAAGAAATCCTTCGAACGATGCTCACTCTCGGCGAGATCGATGCAATGGATGTCATCACAGCCTTTCTCAACGGGGAAATGACTGTGAGGTCTAGGTCAAACATCCACCTGGATTTGAAACCGGAAGAATCGCCGTGATGTCTTTCGGATCCTCCACAGTCTTTAATGGTCTCAAGCAAGCCCCTCGCTTGTGGTACCAGACACTGGCTACCTACTTGCGCCGGCAAGGGTACACCCAGCTCGTCAAAGACCGCTGTGTCTTCATCAAGTAGATGGACGGCCATGTCGTTTACATCGGCGTCTACGTTGACGACCTAGTCATCTTGGCTCCTCACCGGACATGATGCGCACCATCAAACATGGTCTGCCATCGCGTTTTCGAATGCATGAAGCGCGCCCTCCGGTACATCAGAGGAACGATCGACTACGGTCCCGTCCTCGGCGGTGCGTACGATCACTCCGCTCCGCTCCGCTCAATGCGTATGCGAACAGTGACTACGCTAACTGTGTTAATACCCGACTGCGTCGCGGGCTTCGTGACATTTTACCGGAATTTGTCCAGACCGCATCCATTCCGCATATTTTTGACAAGAATGGCTGTATGGAGGCGGTCTGGAATATCGAAATTTTGGTTTTGCATCATTGGGGGACCTCCAAAAAAGCATAAACACAAACGCAAACACGACACAAGCTGAACATATGTGTACCCACAAGGCAAACACATACTTGCTGAGACTTCAGTGAAGTCTAACCAAGTATGTGTTTGTGTCGCGTGTCTGACATATGTGGAGATGTGGAGTTTTTCGGCTGTTTCGCAGATTCCCTGCGTTCAACAAAGTGTAGGGCCAGCTCAGAGGCCACATACCAGTCATTTTATGGTACCTGGCCTCTTGGATAGTATTGCGCTTTGATGAACGCACGGAAGCCACGAACCAAGTCGAAGAACTTCTCAAGTGGAGAGACGTCACGGCTCCTTGACCTCGTGGAGGAATCTACAATTCGTAAGACAATCATCATTATATGTGTTATTGATCTTGTTGCGAGTTCTAATCTTCATTCGCAAGCGCATCGTCAGCGTGAAAAGGAGTCGTGTGCGGCCTTTCCCATGCTGAAGAGACCGTCGCCAGGAGTGAGAGGAGCTTTCCTCCCAATAACGTGGAGCAGCCAGATTCGCAAGTGCTGGCCAAAACAGCTTTAAGCCAGTCGTTTTTGGCACTTGTGCTCCTGATTTTTGGGTGGCACATCTTGGACATGTAATCGTAAACGCAACACATACAGTGACACATCCACAACATATCCCAATTGTTGTGCTGATGGCAACGCTTATACACCCTGGTTAACGCTTGAATGTTGTGAATATTTGAGCACCTTGTTTAATACCCATATCTATCTGCTTCATCGTCTCTAACATCGAAGCCGTGTCCTTCGTGACGAAGAATTGTGCAATATACTTGGCATTCCGAACATGCAACACGAATTGTATGGAATGGACTATTAATTCCATACAATTGCCCAATTGTGCGGAGAATACACTGAATATTACAGTTTCCATATTTATGTTTACAGTACGAGGTAACTCTGGTTTTGTCACCATATGGCGGGGCGCCACTATGGATACGGAATGGAATGAGTTGATAAACCTCTCTATTTTTAACTGTGCTGCGCCACTTCGTGGACGAGGCTGTGCTTTATGAATTACGTTGATACAGTTAGAATTGAATACAAGGCAGTACTTCAACCACTCATGAAAATATCTACTAGTATTCCTAAGAGCAACTCCACCGGTCGGAGTTATAGCTCAGATTTATACGGATAGCCCTTAGGTAGGACCACCCCGGACTTATTGCTCCTACCGGCAGGTTTTATAGGGGTCCGATTTATATTTGAAAGATCCCCTGTCGATGCTTAATTGGACCTCCGAACGCCACCGGTAGTTACAGCCCTACGTCGAATGGCCATGTGTCCACCTTGCTGACGCCGATTGTGAGGGCGATGACGGCGGTATCTGTAAACGAATTAGTGAGCACCGCGTAGATTGTTTTGTCAGAGTCCACGTCACAGTTGGCTCATGGTATGAGAATACGCATGCTGTGATAATCGATAAGCTCAAGGCTTTGCCCTCTTTTTAGTGACGAGTGAGATAATTTGCGGTGACGAACTGCGCATGCGCTTCGACATGATAGATTTTAACGCTTGATTGAATGTAATGTGACAGTGGTCATGTAGGTTTCATTTGGTGCCGCAGGTCGTAGAAGCTGCATGTAGTCAGAGTGCGGCGGCATGTGCGTTTGAATCGGAATAAATCTCATGGGAGGGAAATTGAGATTTATCCCTGGGACTCCATTAAATCTCGCTGTTATCCGTACATTTTCCGAATAAATCTCATTCGATAAATCCCACGGGTGGAGTTGCTCTAAGTCTTACAATTCACCGCCCACCGCATCGTAGTTGATTGCAATTTACGTATTTAGTAGTCATGTTTGGAGTATGAACATAGTGAGTATCAAGGAGTTATCGTTCGACTTGCATGAATGGCACTTGCTTAAATCAATCTGCATGGACAGTAGATACGAAAAGTCGCTCGTCGGAGTACGTGCAACCGACGTAATGAACCTGCAACTAGGTGTCTGTCTCAAGGTTTAACTTACTATAAAAATAAAACCCCTATCCGGATGCGAAATGATCCGGAAATCGTGTTTGCCTAGGGTGGCTTCCAAAACTGCAGCCAAAACTGGCACAAATCCAATTTGAGTCCTATGTGGTACTGTCATTATCCGTATGGACAGTGAATAGTACCCTTTTACGAACATTTTGAACCCTTTCACGAAATCTTTTGTCCGGATATATATAGAAATCATGAGCTGAAAGAGTTTGTAAGTGTTCGTGATTGGTCACTATCAAAGTAGTGTCACGGATATAACCTTGCTTTTTGTATATTGAACAAGTATTCAAAAATGTCTCTCTTTTACAAACTCTTACGAGCTCTTTTATCCGGATGAGAACAATGCATGCTGGGGACACCATGGTAGCTGCCGACTACACCATCAATAACAGTGCGATTGCTGCGTTGGACGTCGGTCTTTGGGTGCTGAAGCGGTCGAAGCATTGATCATGTGACAGGGTCTCAACGATCGAACAGGTGAGGTATGATTGCTTATGCAGCGACGCGGTCAAGCTCGGACGACATCGCAGACCCGCTAACGTTGTTCCGGCATCTGCCACCGAAGGCAGTGCGGCATCGAGCTAAATCGTGACAGCCGCAGACAACGGTGACTCAACTGCAGAGGTTGGGAAATAGTTATTTTTATTGGAATACATTCATTTAAAAGAATAAAATAGATTATTCTAAAATCCTTTCAAAAGAATAATTAGTTTGCACTTCGAAAGATAATAAGTATTGACCTGGACCTCTACAAAAAAATAAGTATTGATTTTTGGAGAATTATTCTAGCCTCCATTCAATTCAAAGTGCTGTAAACAAGGGAAAATCCAAAAAATGTTAATTGTAGTTTTGTAGGGAAATGCTCGAAAAAAAATATTTTTATACCCAATCACAGAGAAGAAATGCATGGCAAAAAAACGTGTGATTCTCTACAAACGTATACTTGCTAGAGTTTGGGCTTTCTGAATATTTTGGCAACTTCATTGCATGAAAACTAGGTGGTTTGATTCTCTGGAGGTTTTGAAGAATTATTCAATAAATTATTCACCCCACTAGTCTCGCCGAGTATGTTATTCACCACAGATATAGAAAGAATAAGCAATTCTCTTCGTGGATTGAAAAAAATAAGTTTCATTAGACAGATTTCGCAAACGCTAGTTCTATTCTATCCACATCCTATCCTCTATGACTGAATAAATATAGAACCGACCTGCAAAAACTTGTTGTATCGGCAGCAAATCTCGCTGAATTTGTGGCGAGGTGGCTATCCGCTGTATACAAGCTCAGCCAAGTTCATCGGTTTGGCAGGATTGGGCTGGACGGCAAGAAGGCCTCCAGCCGCTTCTACCAATTGCTGCGGGTCCACAGGAAGTTCCAAGAGAGCTCAAAGTACCTCTCCGGCGTGGAACAAGAAAACGAGACAGGCAAGATCATGCTTCTAGACGAGTTGATTCAACTCTTCGACGAGGCCAGCGACGAACGCCAAGCCGAACGAGCAACGACGGCCGCCAAGCCCACCGAAAAAGGCCGCGGCGGAATATGTGCAGGAGCAAGCGATGATGGGGGGTCGCCGTAAGTCCAATGAAGGCGACGATTCCACCGACAGCGACGTGGCAAGTCGCAAAACGAAAGGCTATTTTCGAAACTCAAGAGCGCGAAATTGCGTTGGAACATGAGCGTCTCGAGTTTAAGAAGTATAAATTTGAGATGGAGCTACAGGAAAGAGAAAAGGACAGGATGGAAAGAATTCAGCAACGCGAGGACGAAAGAAAGAGAAATGATGACATGATGGAGCTCACCCGTCACTTGCTTCACCGCTAAATTGAAAATACACTTTCACACATTCAATTTATTAGTTGCCATCATTTGCTAGCTGTAAATACTCCTCTAGAGATGGCGGTGTAAGGTTGAAGTAGCTACTAATTTGATTTCCACCGTGATAACAACAGTGGCAATTAGTAAACAACATTGCAACCATAATCACCTTGCCCACACTTTGCAACATAATTTTTTGTTGCATCTTGTATCCCACCATCGCCCAACTTTTCTTCATAATCCCTAATCCCGAAGGACCACTCAACTGACTGGCGAACTTTGCTCATGGACGTGTTGAACACATTCCTTCTGTCGTCCAGATCACTGCCTTTGTAGCCGGAGCATATCCACTCCAACACGCCATATACGCCGGGTCATCATAACCAAAACGTCGCGAAATAAATCGCATCTAGCGACCAAATACGCTTCGAGTTTGCTCAGCCGCAAGAGCGTGGTGTCATGTCGCGACCCCTCGGCCGCCCCCCAAAAGTGCACACACAGTCCGTCTGGAGCAGTCACTGCCTGAAAACAATTCAGGCAGGGTCTGCGCTTGTGGCCGCTGTAGATCAACCGCTGCAGGTCGGCAAAACTTGATGCAACACGGTCGCGCTTTTGAGTGATGCGGCATGTTTCAAACTTGCTGCCATCAATGAACCCAAAGATGCTGTCCATGTATGATCCCTGTCTTGACGGCAGCGGAGTACATCACGAGTCTTGGAACGACGATAGAGTCGCAAAAGTACAGCAGTTCTTTCCACTTGTCAAACAAGAAGTCTATTACGTAGTTAAAGATACGACAAATAGACTCTCGTGACCGGTCAAACGTCGCCATCATGTCGTAGTAGAGGCGAGGGTAGGACATGCGGCAGAGCGTGATACAAAGAGCTTCCGAAGCAAGACAGCGATCGCGGGACGATGTCACAACAACTTCGGGCAATCTCAGGGCGACCACAAGGCGTTGGACGCCAGCGACGTCAAATCGGAACTTCAAGCGGGAGTCGGCGTCAGTGATAGTTTGCAGGGCAAAGCGCACATTAGGGATGATGGGTCGCTCAACAACGCATGCCAGTAGCCGAAGTAGACGCAACCGCTGGGGAAACTTGCTGGTGTGCCGCTTCTTAGGAAGCACCTCGATTTCTTGGCAGGACAGCATTCAGAGTGTTCTTGGCTAGCCAGTGAAGAGCTACATGTAATTTTGATCGGCTGATATCAACTGGATAGAACTAGTTTGCAGCGGATTACTTGCGAAATTCGTGTTTGATTTTGATGTATCCTATCTGGGTTCTATCGTTTGGAGTGCGGATAAAATAGACCTCTAACCCAGACAGTCGATGTTTGACTGGACACGAGGTATTTTGTCATATTCTCACAGTTCAAAGTAAATGGAAATCAACTGAAAAGTACGGTAGTATTCGATCAAAATGTCGGATGTTTTTGTAAAACAGTAATGCATTTCGAAATGTCGATGAGTTATTTACAATGGTTTAAACTGCCAAAAGCCTATTTTAAGCCTTGTAGAATGACTTTATAAGGTATTTATTAACAAGAGATGAAGAAGTTTGGCATATTTAACCCATCACTATTTGTTAAAACCGAGCTCAAATTCTCCAAAACAAGTATATTTAACCCATCACTATGTGTTAAAACCTAGCTCAAATTCTCCAAAACATGTACATGCTCCTTTTTTAACCAAGAAAGCAGGACATTCGTAATTAGTAGAACAATCTTCCATTATCCGATTCGCTATGCGAGCCGATTTCAGTATCGCTTCCGCCTGGATCAGCTGCTGTGAATCAATTTCTGCAGCCATGACCAACGACAGTCTGACCTTGCGGTTCGACCGGTAAGTTCGGGACGCAGCCTTCTTGTTTTTCACGATCTTGGAACCAATAGATATTAATCTGTTGACCAGGTTTGGAACAACATGCCATAGTTCTGACGCTTCCATGCATAGATATCACTGCACACGCTCCAAAGGGTCTTCAAGCGACCAAAGAAGCTATCGACGATGACTGGGTCGCTGGCAATCCGATCGTTGGTACGTAATTCGTCAGCCGTCAGCACGCCTCCAATAGGCTTCTTGGTAGGAAGCACCGCGACAACTTCTCTTTGTATCCCTTGGTAGCCTTTGTCTACAAGGACCACCCATTCACGTGCCCCACCAACTCGCTCAGGATCATCCAGGCGGTCGTCGTCGCCTTGGTTGGCAAGGCCATTCGCGTGGAATTCCAAGTTGTCGTCGAAAATGGACTTGACAGCAAGGCTGCCTTTGTAATGCTTGGTGCAATTGATTGCAAGCCCGTTCCGAAGCACTGATACATCCACATTATGCCCATAGAGCGAGTGTTTGCCACATTAATACAACTTCTTCACAGGATAGCTTCAGGCAAGGACATTCGTTTATTGAAAGGTCACGTCCGTTGCATAGTGAGCATAAGGATTGTTGGTGAAGCGATCCCTGTTGCTAGCTAGGTGTCCCATGAGCCACAGTGCTTAAGTGACGTCAACATCATCAGCAGTAAGTCACCGCAAGTGACCTCAGATTTGCGCCCTGATCCAGTGTCCCAATGCTACGAAAGGTATTACCGTATATGCACCCACAAGATGTTGAACTCAGACGGGCTGAAGTTGGTCATTGTCAGAATACCATCAGGTCCTTGGTCGTCGACGAAGACGTCGTAGTTTGGGCTTGTGGAGTCAAGGTTTTCATCGGGTTCTTCCGCGCATACGGTTGACTATCGCGCTCTCTTGGCTTGGCGTTGCTGGTCGAGCGAGGTTGGTAAGAAGAGCTAGACCTTGGCTGATGTTGCGTGAGGTTAGTGGCGGGGCAGCCTGCAAGCCTTGAAGACTCGCTCTGCGTGCCATAGTGGTCGTTTTGATTGTGTTTATGGTAGGTTCAGGGCTGCTCTGATGTGCAAGTTGTGTGTTTAGTGATTAGTCTATGAACGAGTCTGTGCTCATGGAAAGGACTGAATGATTTCCAAAAACATTGATTGGTTGATGCTTGACTAACCATCCACTAAAATATCCAATCATTTCTCTTGTAGTGGACGTTTGACAAATGATAGAGTTTCAAACTATTATCTTGATGACTGAGCAGTCAGAAAAATTCCTCCATGAATTCATAATTATTCGTCTACAACGTACAATCATTGGTCAAGACATGAATCTATGATCTAGAAGTCTAATAGAACTGACATTTGCGAAATCTGTCTATTATTCATTTTCGACAGGATAAGTAATAAATAGTATTTTCCCAACCTCTGCTCAACTGCGAGTCACCGAAGTCGGCCTGGAGCCGCCGACGTGGCCAAAATGTGATTGACACCGCTGCAGACATCGCTGCCGCTACCACTCTCGACAACTGGCGACTGCATCACTGGCGACTGCATCTCGATCGTGTGCTGCAGCTGCTGCTGACGAAATCGTAGACCATTGAGTGTGTTCCTTTCACTATAGGAACACCGTCCATGGCAGCTACGATGGTCGGTGTGTTCCTATCAATATAGGAACACACTAACCGACAACGGGCGGGCGATGTGACTTCTGTGGATGCTGGAACACACGAACCGACAACGGGCGGGCGATGTGACTGCTGTGGTTGCTGGTGTGTCACCTTGCCGACGCTGTTGCGTTTGCGGGTCCACGAGCATTCTGATGAACTCGTACGATGAGCAGCAAAGCATGCTATTTGCTCTTTATAAGCGACTTGAACGCTACCACACTGGTGATACAGTACTACTGTAGTATGCAACTACCACGGCAGCCATTTTATATGACAAAAAGTGTTTGCAACTTACATTAAGCGTAAAGTGCGTAGGTGTTGTAGTACTACAAGTTTAAAGTTAGCTTACATGTTAGTCGTGGTAGTTGGGTGTAACGTGACCAGTACACTATGAAGGTGGAATCCAGAATGAATTTCTACAGATTGGACCAACTGACCTTGTCGAGCAACGCGTGGCACTCCTTGGAATGACTATATCGGCAATTTGCGACCGCGTCCTTTTCGTAAAGTGTCCAATATAGGTGAATATTTCGTTTCAAAACCACCCCAAAATATGCATAGTTTGGCCCAGCCACTTAGTAATGCATCGATTGGCTAGGATAAGCCAATCATCTCAATGCATTTCCATTTATCACTGGACCGTGCGCTAGGTCCCCAACGTCGTCCCCGGCCAGGCGACGCAGGCCACCGATCATGGTTGAGTGTATTCGCCGCAAGTACAATGTCTTGAACTTGCCGCGAATACTCTCCATATGGTTGGGTGGTTGTTGTGTCGAGTCCAACGCGACCACAGCAACGAAGGCATCGTGGTCGCGTTAAGCATGGGTTTCTGTCCGTTCTCTCGGGGCTGCGTCAGATATACATTTAGATCCTTGGTAGTGCCTCCGTTACGAGGTCTAGCCTGAGTATGTCATGTTCCTCGTGTAGATGTCGGCACCGGGTTCTCCAAGACACTTGGTCGAGCAACATGAGCCGTGGAAAG